TAACAGGGGGACAGATCGTCAAGGACCAAGATCTTAACAATTTAAACTATAGTAATGTTCTGTAAACTCATTTGTCTTTGCGTCAAGTTGTGATTTGGTTGGTTTTATTGACTCCTGCCTAAACTTGAAAATGGCTTGATTCACACCAGAAGGACAACTCAAATTTGAATCTTTTCTCTTTATTTGATTGATTGCAGATTCCTTATTGCTTCATTCAGCCTCTTGTTGGCCTCCTGATGCTCATTCAGGTTGAAAACCTTTAACACAAAACCTTACTTTCATTCACTTTAGGTAAATAAACATTTTCAACGAAAAACATGCCATCTTTTAACAAGCACTTTAATTTCTTAATTTACAATTAAATTTAACATTTAATCAAAAATAAATGCATCTCAACAAAGTAAATTATATTCAGCATCTTATATTTTAGCTTCTTACCTCAGGACTAGAAATAATAATACATCTAATCAAACATGGTTCAAACAGATTAATACATTTACAAATATTCACCAGCAGCGTCTTGGTCGAGTCTTGGTCGAGTCTTGGTCGAATCTTTGAGTCTCTTCTCCTTTCTCACAGTGAACTGTTTGTTCTCTACTGAGAGTGTGTTCCCAGGTGTGTTGCATTTAGCTCATTAAATAGGAAGCTCACACTCTTCCTTTGAGCCCCATTCTCAGTGGAATCACAGACCCTAGGCTCCCTGTCTCCACCTGGTGGACTGGAGCCAGATGCGAATTGCACTTCTCAAGCTCTGACAAAACAGTTGGGTTGTCAGCATCTGTGCCTTTTTGTGTTATACAGTTCAGCTTTGATTCCATCATCTCATTAAACCTTATTTAAAAGCATACTTTAGTTCTGTGAAGGGATATAATGGATATATGCACTGTACTTCACTGTAACTAATAATGTATGCTGAAAAGCGTATATATTACTGCATGATTTTTTGTTGAAAAGATTTGAGTGGTTAAAAATTTCGGGTTGCGATCTATTGACTAAGGAAAAAGTGGGTCCCGAGGCCTGACAGTTGAGAACCACTGCTCTAGCTTATCATTTTAAAATCCATGGTGAATTAATATAAAAAATAATATTAACATTTACTCAGCTATGCATAACTTTGATCTTCTTTCATATTAAAAAAGCGCGTTTTCATCTTCTATGAAGCACTGACTGATATACAGCCCATGTCGTTTTTTTATCAAGCTAGAGTAGACGTGATATTACTTCAGCGTTAATGGCGACTTTCTCTTTACGCAGAGCTACGTTAATGCGGAAGTTGCCGTGGTTGAATCTAAACTGGGTTGGAAAAACAAGACACAACCTTCATCTGTGCCACTGTAGATGCTTCAAGTAAACTGAATTTGTCTATTGGGTTTGCATCTAACTTTGATGGTGAACTATGGGATATGTTGAGACTCAACAGCAAGGTTGGAAAAAAGAAGACATGACTGACTTTTGCCCTCCACAGGAGTTGACTTCCTGTTCTGCAGGTAGTAGAGGAGCTGCTCCACCTGGGGCAAACGGGAAGCAGGGATGAGTTTACACTCCTCCACCACTTTCTTTGCCAAAGCCCCCACATCTGTACTCGGAGACAGACTCTTCACTCGGATACTGGAGTGAGGACAAAGAGAAGGAAGTGTTAAATATGTTTATAAGAATGCAGGCATGAGTCATTTGAAACGTAATACTTAACTGAAGTACATGTAACATGATGAAACACCATTACCAACCTATAATTATGGTGAAAAAATACTTCTAACATCATTATTTACGATGTTTCCAGATATTTTAGGAACAAGCTGATAAATGACACTAGTCCATTCCATGTTAGCATACCAAACAGATGACTGCTTATATGGTTATCTAATCCTATTCACTCAGGTTGGTTAAAAAACAATAATGAGGAAGAGGTAGAGAAAGATGTGAATAAAATCTGGAGTGGATGGCGAGATAAAGGAGATGATAATAGGTATTTAGCTGAAACTTAAACTTCCTTTAATTTCACTTCAAATAGAGGAAGAAAAAAAGAGAGACTTCAGCCTCAGATCTTATGGTAAAGAATAGGGTTCTGTGTGGGAATCAAGAGTAAACTCACATTTTTTGTCCCTCCTTCCGCTCACCCAGCATATGCCCTCCTCCCTCGGCCAGTATAGAGGCTTCCACCTCGTAGTGGACCACCAGGGCCTTCTCTGTGGGGTGCACATCCAGACTGCCCGCAGTCACTTTGCTTTGGGTGAAGATGAACAGCAGATGTGAAAACAATGACTAAAAACATTGTTGTTCCATAACTTTGTAAAACTCCAGTTTAAATACATTTTTACAAACCCTTGCATTTGGCTTAAGTTTTAAATTCCATAAATGAATCAACGTCTCTCTCAAAACTAACAAGCAAATGTGGCTCCATTTCCACATTTCTAAATGTCCATAATAAGATGTCATATCTCTTTCAAAGAGTTCTGCTAAAGTGTATTCATATTTATTATTTCTAGTTTATTACACTGTCTATTTGTATACCTGATCTATAGTGTATATAATGATATTGCTGTTTATAATTCCTTATAGTGTTCATAGATGTAAAGTCTCTCATAGTTTGTATCTTCCACATGTATATACAGTGGGGCAAAAAAGTATTTAGTCAGCCACCAATTGTGCAAGTTCTCCCACTTAAAAAGATGAGAGAGGCCTGTAATTTTCACCCTAGGTATACCTCAACTATGAGAGACAAAATGAGAAGAAAAAAATCCAGAAAATCACATTGTCTGATTTTTAAAGAATTTATTTTCAAATTATGGTGGAAAATAAGTATTTGGTCACCTACAAACAAACAAGATTTCTGGCTCTCACAGAGCTGTAACTTCTTCTTTAAGAGCCTCCTCTGTCCTCTACTTGTTAACTGTATTAATGGCACCTGTTTGAACTCGTTATCAGTATAAAAGACACCTGTCCACAACCTCAAACAGTCACACTCCAAACTCCACTATGGTCAAGACCAAAGAGCTGTCAAAGGACACCAGAAACAAAATTGTAGACCTGCACCAGTCTGGGAAGACTGAATCTGCCAATCTGCAGCTTGGTGTGAAGAAATCAACTGTGGGAGCAATTATTAGAAAATGGAAGACATACAAGACCACTGATAATCTCCCTCGATCTGGGGCTCCACGCAAGATCTCACCCCGTGGGGTCAAAATGATCACAAGAACGGTGAGCAAAAATCCCAGAACCACACGG